TTATTAATAAAAAGATAGACCATTAAAAGATTTAACTTCTTTATTAATGGTTAAAAATAATGCACTGGCTATAAAATAGACTGGGTTACAATACTTTATAATTTTTAAGAGGGTTAAAGGTCATTGTAGTCTTTGTACTATTCATTTTCGTTCATTATCATCCCTATACACCAAAAAAGTCGATTGTCATCCCTCTACTCTCCGAAAGAACCGTTGTCGCCCCTTTACTTCGTAAAAACAGTATATTGTCCTCCCTCAATTGACACCGTTACGAACATTAGGAGTAACGGCGTTCATTTCACAGACAAGTGTTAAACTTAAACTTTTTATTAAAATAATCATTTTCAATTCCAATTTTTGGTGAGAGGAACCCTGGTCATGCCACATCAAGCCCATAACCATTCCTTCTGTCTTATCCCCCTTCTTTCCTCGTGCAGCCTAATCCTCAAATTTGCAAAACCTTTTGCATGGCAAAAATGTTATGCCTTTTTTTTTTTTTTTTTTTTATGTCTACTATTGAAATTAATAAGTAAGTAAAGTGAGTTAAGGGATGAATAAGTGTTATTTTTTATTGTGTAATATAAAATAATAATAATAATAATAATATGCAATATTTGTTTCTCTGCAAGCAATGAGAATCAATCTTATTCCTTTTTCCTATGCACTGATTCCTTCTGTTTTTTTAGCTCAAATCTGTGTCTTGAAATATGAATTTGTTTTGATTAATGATTTTTTAGCATAAGCTCTTAAGTCATACATTAATGATGTAATTAATTTACCTTTTAATCATAAGTTATATAAAAAAATAAAATATGACGTTAATTTTAATAACTAATTAATTAAATTAATATATGTGATATTGATATTAATTAAAACTAATATCAATTAATTTTAGATTAGATGTAAATTTTATATTGAAACTCACATGTACAATTTTTTTAAATCCAAGAATTGAATTTATTAATAAGTGTTGTCTTGTAGATCAAGTCTAAAATTTAAGTTTTTAACTTGGTACTACAGAGTAAAGGTATAAATAAGGATTTTAATTTTGCACTTTTTTTTATTTAAAGATGTTAAATTTGTTAGTTTCTAAATAAAGATGTCAACTTTCAATTTTTTTTAAAATAAGAATGTTAACTTTATCAGTTTCTAAATAAAGATGTTAACTTTCAACCTTTTTTATTTAAAGATGTCAACTTTCAACTTTTTCTATTTAAGGATTAATTGAACAGTGATGTTGATCTGGCTAACATATTTTTTAGGTTAAATACCTAAATTGGTCCCTCAACTTTTATTTTTGAACCAATTCATCCTTGAACTTCAGAAAGTACCAAAAACATCTTTTAACTTCAATTTTCAATTAATAAAATTATTTCCTAATTCATGGAAGAATTAATTAAATTTTATTTAATTTTATTAAATGGTAGGTGGGACTAATTAAATGGGAAAATATATTAATTGTTTTAATTT